AGAAAGAAAGAAAAGAAAGACAAAAAGGAAAAAAAGAAAAAAAAAGAGAAAAAAGAAAAAAAGAAGAGAGCCATGTCAGTAAAAGAAATGAACAATTCTGCAAGAAAGAAAAGCTCCACAGATCTTGGAGTCCTGCCCTCTGCCGACAACAGGCTGGTAACTTCATTACAGCCTGTGTAGTTCATTGTTCGCAAGTTAAACGGTTGTAAACCAGAGTTCAGAATTATTTGCTACAGACATGTTTTCAGAACGTGTAAGCAGCAAATCAGTCCAGCAGTTCAACCCTCCCCTTCCAGGAACACCTCACCCCGCAGCATGATTTTATAATAGACTACATGAAAAATCCCACTGAAGGGGGGTGGTGGGAGGGGTGGCAGCTGGCTACTTTTATAAAAACAGTAATCAGGTCCTTAAAAAACCCGACCCACCAGCTCCATTCCACCTGTATGCTGTGCTTCAGCACCCAGTGCACAAAGCAGCCTGAACGCCAACATAAACTTGCAAGATTCTTCTAATTGAAAGGCTTAATAGTAGCAAAAATGCAGCCAGCTCCAAGAGCCAAACGCTTGGCATAATCGATGTCGAATGCAGCTTGATGCAGATACATGTAGAATATCAAGTGTCATACAACAGAGGCACAGCAAACTTCCACAACGAAGAAGAATGAATAGGAACTGTTCAGAACTGTCCAGCTATAGCTTTCACTTCAAGGTATAGTACAAGTCAGGATAGGTATTACACTTACTGCAGAGATTCCGTCAGGAATGCAGCATCCGCCACTGAGCCAAGGCTCTGAAGACAGACAGAGCAGCCTTTGAATAGTACTGAAAAGAACCACCAGAATAATATGGGACACACAAGACTCAAATCAGGCTTGAGGGAATGTTTAAGGGGAGCTTTTCTATTCAGAAAATGAACACCATAGTGTGTGACCTTTCCAACTAATCTACTAAGTCACACACAAGTTCTAAAATTACGTAAACTCTTCCCAGCTTACTGCCACCATGAAAGCAGCAACGGCATGCTAGTTAGAAAGGGAAGCAAGCAACCCCCACCCCAGAGGATGCAAGAGGAATGTTACCAGCACTACCAAGTGTGGAGGTATGCAAACAATCAACACAAGGAGCTAGGCTGATTGCAGGGGAGACAGAAAGGAAAGGAAACGGGAGGGCAAGGCAGCGCAGGAGAAATAAAGATGCCTAGGAACGCAAACTGTCTTTTGCTTTTGCTATAATTCTTTACATTTCCCAACCTCCACAAGCTGTCAAAATAACTTCTCTTACAGAGTGCTTTGTAAGAGGTTGGTTATATTCCACCTCATATCCAAAGAATATGCCATTTAACAAAGAGATGGCGCAATTAAACACAACCCATTTTGACCTTCTGTGAGTTCTAGCACTTCTGTTTTCTGTGACAAGACATTTTAAAGCTAATACAGTTTTCCCTTTCCAACGGGCCTGCAAGCAGCATTTGTCCCAACAGCGTTTGATATGCTGCCCCATAACAAAGGCTTTTTTTTCAAGCATATGCAGCTAAGTCTCTTGGCAACTGGAGATGCTCCAGTTCCATTAACAACCTTCTCTCCTCTGTTCACTAATCAGGAGCGAAGGCTCTGGAGGATCAATACTTAATAAGCCTCTGAATGCTGCTGCTGCAGGTAACTAGAGCACCACCCAAGCTACTGGTTCAAAAGGGGAACGTGCTGTCCCCATAGGCCTGTACCAGGCTGATGCAGAGAAGGGAGAGCTGGTCTCCCCCAAAAGGGAGTGGAGGCATGGGGGTGAATTGCAGCACATTTAAACATTTGTAGGTCACCTTTGGCAGTGTTTTTTGTTTGTTTTTGAGAAACACCATTGTTACAAGCAACAATGCTTTGGACCCAAAGTTAACACTCAGTCCTTTGGCTGAATGATTAAAATGGATGGTTCATGTAAATAGCTTCCTTTACCCCAGGCCCAGACTTGCATATGACCTCGGAGACTTTAAGTACAGTACATGAAACGTTAACACTTGCTCTCTCACCATTTTCTCTAATTCAAAGTTATTTTAATTTATTTCACGGTGATAACTGAATGCATTTTCTTTTAAAGGGAACAGGATAATCATGTTATTCCAAAAGCAAGTCTGTTCTGAAATGCAATTTGTATCTAAAAATCAAACATTAAATAACCTTCTCTCCCTTTCTCACACACAGAACACACATTGGAGTCTCTGCTTTATGAGCTACATATCAAACACGATCTGCTTGGAAGCGCAGGTTCCCCTTTTCCCATAACCAGCTTACCATGGTGTTTGCAAGCCCCCAGCATGCACTCCAAGTCCTGCATCACCACTGTAAAATGTCAAAATGGGACTTGGTTCAAAATCCCAGCTCACATGTGCATATGAATAGGAAACTAATTCGCACCACAGGTCTGCCAGCTCTGCAGGGTGTCACAGCGTGACACTGCTACCTGTGTGAGGGTACTGTACTCCTGGGTAGCTCAGGCACACCCGAGACTCTAAGCTAGGGGTGAACACTCTTTTACCTGGAGAAACTCTGTGTCTGCGGTTGTCCTTTACTCTTGTCTCAACCACTACAGTATTTTAAGACAAAAAACAGATCAGGCTTATGAGGCTGGTGATCTCACTGACAGTGGGTCAATATGCCAGGAGAGCAGCAATGCGAATCGTTCTAGGTGTGGGCAATCTTGCCTGCTGCCTCCATGGAAGCTTCTTCCTGAAGCTTTCAGGTTGGACACATGCCTCTAACAGCTGATACCCAAAGGCCAGTGGGCAGAGTGACGATGCCCAGTGCACTGGGGACTTCTTAGACAGCAATTTGGCCCATGCATGCAAGATCAATACCAAGTGTGTCATCGATCACGTTATGTTTCCCTGGGAGGGAAAACCTGAATTTCAAGATGCTGTCTGCTAGGTAACAGGGCTATTAGCACAACAGTGGTCAGGGTGAAACATCCATGTTTATTTTTTTAGATCTCAGCGCTGCTGTTGCTACTATTGACCCTGGGTGCTTCTGACATGTCTGCTCTTGTCTCTGCGAGGGTCCGACACAACTGACATGTTTTCTCTCTTCTCTCTGAAAGGACCCAGATGGTAGTGCTTGGTGACTGCTTACATGCCCTGAGGGGCGTCTCCTTGTGCGTGGCACCAAACAGCGCTATTTTGTCACCCCTCCTTTTCAGACACGGATAGCAATTGCAAGGACTGCACTATCCATACCAGAAAAAAGAACATTGCCTGGCTTGTCTGGCTTCCGGCGTTTGGTACAGTTACAGCAGTAGAAAATGCGGAAACTCAGGGAGGTGTCAACTTGCTGTCCTCAGAGCTGCAAACAGAAGCCATGAACATGTGGGGACACCATAATAATCCAAATCCATAGCACAGTCAAAGATGGTTCCCTATTTGCAACTCTGGAAAGATGCAGTAACAAGGTGACACTACAGAAAGCCTCATTTGATACAAGCAGGTGTGAAAATGGACTGCTCTCCTTAATGGGGAAAGCTTTTAAAGGGAGGAATTGATAGGCTGGAACTTGCTTACTCTCTGCTTCGGTAGGGCTTGAATTCACTGCTTTTTGGAGCACATTGCAAGCCTTTTCCATTTGGCTAAGCTTTCCCAAAGGAACAAAAGAAAGAGATGGCTGGTAAAGCTAATAGAGAGTGGCAACTTGAGAAAAATTACTACTTTTCTCATTATGTGAACAAATGTGTTTTTACAACTGTACATTCATGTATACATACCAGAACACATGTGTTTTCACAGACTTTTCCTTAAACTAAATAAACAAAACCCAGGTAAAAACATTTTCCTTACAAAACCCACATACAGCTCAGTAAACCATGCTACTGCTTTTCTTATCATAGCTGCCATGTGATGCAGCTGAACAGACCTGAGATCTGAGACAGAGTCTTTTCACTGCCATTACTAGTACAGATGCCTAATTGTCCACACCAACTGTCAGAAGGTTTGAGCTTACTGTATAAAATGTGTTTATTAAAGAAAAAGGGAGATACTGAGTAACAACCTGAAGGAAAGGCCATTAAAAAAAAAAACCCAAACCAAAATCACACCACAGCTATGTCCAGTAATAAAATACAATGTGTTGCTGCTAGTATCTTAACAACTCCAAGAACTTCATAACACAAAAATGTCTCAGAACATGTCATGACTGAAAATCAACAGCACTGTTAAGGGACTCCTTCCTTCGACTCGTGGCTGCCTGGACTTAAGCATTTTCTTTCCTCTGGTCTTTTGTGTGCGTTTAACTACGGATCATGTGTTCCAAACTGCCCTTTTTTAGCCTCAAGCCCCCATAAAACTCAGCTTTTTGGTTCCAGATGCCATCAGCTGCTTTGACTCCAGGAAGCTAACGAGCTTTTAGCTTCTTCCCAGCTCAGTAGTAGAAACCTGTCTGCAGAGAAAAGCTTACTGCAAAAGGAATCATGTATTAGTCCTTGGCTCCAGATGCCACTTACGTGAATTTATTTTATTGAAAAGATTCTGACATTACTCAGAACTGTTTAGATGTTGAACAGCTTTATAAACTTACCGTCAGAAAACCTCAGCAAGTAGGGAAGTACAGAAAAGGGGAAGAAACATTACAGAAGACAGCTTTAAGGCAAAATAAAAACCACCTACATGGTAATGCTTATTTAGTTGAAATATCCACACACTCTCAGACGTTAAGTACTGAGTTATGCAAGATAGGTAGAAAAAGCACAAGGAACTCTTTCTCAGCTCTGCACACCTCTTACCTATCTTCTTTCCTATCTCCAGGACAGACTGTATGAAATGCACTGGTGGATCATGAGGCTGGGTATGGTCCCATTAAGTGCCCTCCCCTGCTACATGACTTGTATCGGACATAGTAGGCCAGTAAATGAAAGCTCCTGTGGGGCTGTGGAGTGGAAAAGAGGCCACAGCACTATGCAGTGCAAAGCTGTAAGATCCAGCATCAGGTGGGAACCAGCTGTCAGACTGGAGAGCTCTGCACTTACCCAGCCGCAAGGTGCTCCTCCAGCAGCCAGGGCAAGGCAGCAGCCTGGCTGGTGTCAGAGGGGGCAACCGCAGCCAGCGGCCACACTCCTCCAGACCTCCATAGACGCTATTTCTCTCCACCAGGCCTGTGGTGAGTCAGGGTGTGGGGGGACCCACAGCACCTTGTGGGATCAGCCCTTCTCTGCCTTTATGCGCTGGGGTGCTGGCACTGCATCTTAACCAGCCAGGCAAAACCAAATCCTCCATCACTCGGGAATTTACAGAAACGGGATTGCTTTGTCAGGTATGGGACTACGGGGGTTTCCATTGACTGCGCTTCAAAACCCTGTCCTGCTGCTGAGGGACTTTCTGCTCTGGATTGAAAGCCCGTGCGCTCCTGACAAGCATTTGGATGTATCGGCAACGGGCACTGCTTAGAGCTGCGACAGACAAGGATCGACAGACGGTATTTCCACTCGGACTGGCACCTGTCAGGTTCTCTCCTTCGCAGCCTGTCTGGGTTTCTTCTTCAGTGCCAAGGGAAAAACAACTTCAAGGAAAAAACCAAAATCCTTCAGAGCTTACACACACTGAACTACGCTTGGAAGCCAATTTGAAAGCTTCTTTCTGGGTTACTCATGCTTCACCAAGTCTACTTATACTTCCACTTCTCATCATGATTTTTATATAAAGCCTCATAAATGGTCGTAAGACATTACACAGGTATTTGGTTATTCATATAAATTCAGTTGCTTGTTAGAGGCCTGTCTGCTTAAGGCAGTGAAGGGCTGCAGAACTCCACAGGTTGAATTCCTCAAGTAAGAAGGAAGAATACATGTGTCTATTCTCCAGTGGATCTACCCTCACAGAAACATCAAACACTTCAAAATACTTCCCAGTAGGAAGGAAATATTTGGATATAAACAACTAACCATTTTTTGGGAAAGGTTACAGAATCCAAGCTGAGGAGCAGCCAGCAGGTCCAGTCTCAGCCTACAGAAATGAAAGGTCAGTGATTCCTAATCACCGAGACTGAAATCGGAAGCCTGTTTGATTTATTACGGAGTCCTGCAATCTTGCCCTTATAAGCATTTTATAAGCAAGTGCCATATGGAAAGACTCCCCCACATTATTAAATAATTTATTATATGCCAACCCAAACACTTCCTCCAATCCTATCTGTGTCCTGAAATTGCTAATTAGTTCCTGATACAGTTTCCAAAGTCAAAAAAGTGTTTCAATTCCTCTCTCCATTTCATGAAAGTTGCCACATGCACCTGGAGGCAGCCCAGTGCCTCTCATCTGTCTCAATTACAGTCACTATGCTGCTGTCAAGCAACTCAAGTATCTCCCAAGCACCCAAGAAAAAGAATTTGATGTTTTCAATGTCAAATAAATGTCAGGCACGAGTGGAAGCAGCATGAAACAAAGGTTTTCTTCAACTTCTCTAACAAAAAATGGACCTCGCAGCCCAGGTTTTCAAGGTACAGTATTTGGGTACTTAATTCTCATGGATTTTAGCATAAGCTAAACACCTTAATGCCTTCAAGAACAGAGATTTCCCATCCATCCTCAAAGCACTGTATCCAGGCAGGGGTACAGATGGTGAGAGGCAAGAGAAAATGCTGCTGCTCCTCCCTCACTTGAACTGGGATGCCCCAGGACATACCAACATTGAAGGCGTAGAGCGAAGGGGTACTCTCCTCCTTTATGCCAAACATTCTCTGCAGCTTTTTAGAAAAACAGGAAAGTTTCTATTAAATGTAAACATGTCTAATGTTTGATGCACTGAGTATCTGATAATCACAGGCGGAACTGACACAAAACCACCTTTGGCCATAGAATTACAGATTTCCTGGGAACATAGATCTTGCTATAAAACTTAAATTTGGTCCAAAAAACAAGATAAGACAACATGATCTGGAGAGAATTAGCTCTCTGAAGCCTTGCCTGTCCAAACACACACATTTTACAACCAGAAATAAATCTATTTGCAAGTTAAAAAAAAAGAAAAAAAGATTGGGGTCCCCGCTTGTAGCGATGAATGAGATACTTAGTTGAAATGAAGAGGAAGCACAGAGATATTTTTCAAGATGCAGCAGGAGAACATTACAAAACATCCAACTGCGGCCTGGCCCCATCTTTACCATCACACAGGCATGGCTCACGTTCACAAACCACCAGAAAGTCGCATGAGAAATTTTACAACAAAGCCACAGCAGACACTATTCAAAGCAACTCTGACAGCTTCTTTGAAACCACTTCATTACTGTTGAAACAGTGAAAAGATCCCTAACCCGATAGCCACTTTGTTTAGGACAGTTTTCAATTTCAGTGCAGCTTTCTTATGGTAACATTATGCAATTAAAAACTGAGCTTAAAACTACCCATTGTTCATGCCTATAGAAAACTCTGAAAAGGTCAGTATAGGTGTAAATAAGGTAAAATGCTTCCTCAAGAGTATTGAAAAGTCCATCATGTTACAACTTATTTCTAATCACTTATATATGCACCACAGTGTTATGAATGCCCTGATAGCTTCTCATGGGCCATCTGAATCAGTAGCCAGATCTAGAAAGAGGCCTCCAGACTGCAGTGAGGGGCATGGCACCAAATTTTATATGTTTCAGGGAAGCTGAGATCCAGCCACACAGAAAACTGCCAATACAGTTTAATTTCAATGGGTTTACTCTCAGCATTGCTTTCACCAAGCAGGTATGTAGGATTTAGAAAGGACCTGCTTGTTAGGATTTAACTATCAAGCAAAAATTAAAACTATTAAGCAGAAATGTGCAGATGTAAGCCACACACGCCTTTACCAAAGTGTTAAGTTTCAGACACTAGCACTAACCTGAAGTGATCTCCTGGAAGCAGTGCTCATGCAATTGCATAAATGGGATTAAGTCTCATGCTCCTAACACCTACACCTTCTCATTCCTTGAGAAATCCCAAACACACTGCAATGCAACTAACACCTCAGTCGTCCTCGACACTTCTCATCTCTCCTCTTACACATCTGCAAGTTGCCTTTTGTGCTCTGCAGTGATCACTACCACATTTTATTGACTCAATATGCAAAGTATCCCCAAAAGAGGAGGGGGAAACCAGTATTTGCAAGGATTGCAGACTTCCAGTTTCCAAGGTGTTTAAAGGTCATTGGGGACACTCCAGTTAAGACAGATCCTTTCTCTAGATCTTATTCTTGTCTCCTCACATTTTGAATTAGTCTTTGGAGATGCTTTTCTTGCTCATCATTTTTAAGCTCTCAGCAGGACAAGATGCAATTATATGCTCAATCATGATTACATATTTGCTGGTTTGATTTTAGAGGTCTCAAAACAAAACTCATTATATTAAATAGTCTTCCTGGAATTTTATGAGAGGGACAAGAAGAACTGACGTTTCCATATGGAGTGGGCTTGCTACCTGGCTTGTTAGCATGAGCCAGCAAGAAACATACTGCTTTAGGAATCAGGAAATTTTATTTCTACTCCCAGCTCTGCCACTCAAATGCCATGTAACTGCACAACTTACTTCAGCAGTCCATGTCCCCCTTTCCCCTCCCACTCCATTTCTGTCTTGCCTATCCAGACTTGGCCTGTTCAAGTAGACTGTCACAGTGCATCAGCTACTTACACTTCACGGAGGCTACTGGTAAAAAAGAATATGGAGTTGCTCTAAATGTCTTCTACAAAAACAACAACATATTCAGTAACGTAAGGAGACCGCAAAGCATGCAAAACATGACTGAACTGGTCATGTGGTGGAAAGGATTGCTCTTCACATACCCTCCTTCCAGAAAAGCCTGAACATGGTCTATTCCTAAACAGACAAATAACACTTCATGCTGTTACAGACTTCCAGGTTTCCCTGTGACCAAGACACAGAAAATTCAGGGCTGAAACTAATGGTCTGAGAGCCGCCCCCCCCCCCAAAAAGAATGCTCTCCTTTCTACCACACGCTGATCAACATTCACACTCATCACCTGAAAAATGCCTGGGTTGGAAATCAGGCTCTCAGTGGGTTCAGAGCAATGAACAGCTGGATTGACGTTGCTTTCGAAACCGTGCAGATGTAAGATTCCTCCCCTCCAGCTGAGAGGTAAATGTGTCTGCTTTACAATGTAAAATGCCTGCCTCTCAGTTCAAGGTCATTTTTCTTCAATCCACAGTTAGAAGTGTATGGCACATTAAGTCATATCATTCCCCTGTCATGTTGGAGAAGGGGGGAGCTTTTAAGCCTGTGCAGAGCACTCAGGGTTTGAGAAAAAAATACAGCTTTATATAGCAGCTTTCACATTTATGGTATCTGAAAGCGGTTTACAAAGTAATGAGTCAGATAACAGGACTGCAGCAGCTGTGTAGGTAAGCGCACTAGAAATTAATGCTGAGAAAACAGAAGTCTTAAATTTTTTGATTCTCTTTATTTGCCTTTCTGCAAAACACGACTGCAGCTTCAGTCAGACTAATGAGCATCAGTGACTTCTGCAATTTAGAATGCACAAGTTATTTGACATTCCAGTTTATTTTAATTTTCAGATTAACTCCATGATTAAAGCTTTCCATTACCTGTAATAAATACTGTTCGAGCAAAAGTGGAAAAAATGCTAGACACCTTACTGCACGTACCTCCCCTGTCTTGGCTGCATTATAAGGAAGGCCTCCTTGCCTGATCTCTACTACCTCAATTTGCAATTAGTTCAGAATCACACAACTATTTCATTTTTATTCCCCTTTCTCTATCCCATCGTTAGCTGTTATAAGCAGACCCTCAAAGACTGATTAACATAGTGCTGTGAGGACTCCATGGCTTACTGTGCTGGCACCACAGAAAATACATGTTGTAAGCAACAATATATTTATCTTTTAAAATAGCCATACCTTGGAGAGGGGAGATAAAATAAATCAATCAACCTGAGATCCACCATTTAAGATGCATTTTGCATAAATGCTCACTTCCACGGTTCCATGGGCAAATGGGCGCTCTCATTCTTCTTCCCATTTGGGTCACCTAGCTAGCTGTCATGGATTAAGTTATTTTGGAAAAAACTTGTCCCTAAAAAAATGTGCTGTTTTCTTCCAGACAGACTTTTTTTGGTTGACTTTGTAATGAGCTAACGAGAGTCACACAGAACAACTAGGTTGAAAGGGAGTGTGGGATGTCACCTGGGCCAGCTTCCTGCTCAAAGCAGGCTCCATGCTGAATTTAGACCAAGTTATTTATGGCTTTGTCCAGTCAGGTCTTGAAACCCTTCAGTGATAGAGAACCCTTCAAAACCTCTCTGGGGAAACTGTTCCAACACTTAATGATGAGGCATTAGCCTGCATTTTTGTGGGTAGAACAACACCGGACAGGACAGACAGAGCATCCTGGACAGACATGTCAAGTGAGATTCAAGAGATGTCTGTCTAGCGTTGAGTTTTGAAAGCATCTGAGTCATGTAGGCCTCTGAGAAAGCTGTCCAGATTCCCGTTACTCCTAAAGGTACAGCCTTCATAACACTCACCCGGAGCTGTAACTACTTCCTTTACTTATGCGCACGCTATTTCTGGAAATCTGGCAAGGGATTTAAATCAACACTACACCATTTTTCTGCCTCAGCTGTTCTGAAACTTTCTGCTGTTCTCTTAACTTGTCAAGTGGCTTTGTCAGCAGAACTTCACTGCGGTACTTTTGATGGACACTAGAGACAACCGTAACTTTGTGCAACACTATTTTTGTAATTGATTTTGACATGAAATTTCATCTCTAAACTCAGATGGAAGCTGAGTTTCCCTTCCTTGCACTTCACAAAAATACTGGCTAAGCAATCAGGACAACTTTCTGATTCGCACCCCTCTTCAAAGTATCATCTCATTTTTTATCCTTATGCTAAAAGGTGGGGGGGAAGTCCCTGAGCTTTCATTGTTGTTGTTTCTTAGCCGAAACTGAGAAGTGGGACGGCAGAAATCTGACATAATACAACAGGGATAGATGGATGGATGGATGGATGGATGGATGGATGGATGGATGGATGGAGTTTTTCACTGCAGTGACTAAGTCCCAAGATTGAGGCAGTTACAGTTATGTGTGATAAGCACCTCCACACCAACTCCAGCTTTTATTCCTGGCAGCCTTTCTTGGCACACTCTCATTTTACACACAGTCCTTGAGCAGCATCTGTATAATGAGTATGCTTTGTAATAACAGGCATTCTATTGTAGAGTAACAATTAGAATTGTTTGTAGAACAGAAATGCTAAATGAGACATGCAAAAACATATACACAAACCAAAGGGTGGGG